GCTGGAGAGGAAAGAAGAGGATGCGTCGGCGCCGGGCCTAAACAACGCCTCCGCCGCACTTGCAAAGGGGGCTGCTGGCACAGTGCAGAGGGAGGCTGGCGGCGGCGACGGCGCTGTGCGTGGGTGTGTGTCTCGGCTGCTGCTGCTGCTTGCCCTGCTGGGGCTGTGGGGCACGACGGCTCTCTGCTGAGTGCAAGAGGGAGAGTGGATTTGTAACTCCTAGTGGAGAGTGCGCGCTGCGACCCATGCGGGTCTCTTCATTTATATATCCTGCTTTGTTTTCCTTCTTTTGCCTGTTCCCCTTCTTCTTTCCTATTTGGGCTTTGCTGGAACAACCAGCACCCCATGTTTTTTTTTGTTTGCTTCTCTAATGGTCGCTTGCTATACGCACTGCTATGGGCGGCGCACACTCCTCCCCCTCTTCTTTGCTGCTGCCGCCCACTCACGCACACACGCACACACAAACACGCGGTGCCGGCCGCACTGCTGTGCGTCGCACGGATTTTGACGCAACTGATGGGCTGAAGCGCAGGCCGAACTCCGCAGGAAATGTGCGAGGGATGTGTGGGCTCATGCAGCATGGGAGATGCTTTTTGTTTTCTTTTCTTCGTGCAGGTGTTAAAATATACACACACCCTCACCGTCCTCTTGTGCTGCTGGACGCGTGAGGTAAAGAAACCCCTGCCGAAGTAATTCTGTTTTATCTTCTTGTTTGTTTGTGTTTCCCCTGAGTCCTGCTGGACTTCCGCCTCTTTGTTTTGGGACCAGTTCTTTTTTGTTGGGGTAAATCACTGCGGCCCAATTTGAGTTTGTGCGCCGTGTTCGCCACCGCCGCTGCGTGTCTCCGTGCTCTGTTTCCCCCTACCGCCGCCGGCTGTGCCGCCGACACGCCCCCATTTCCTCCTCCTCCTTCCCGCTAGAGGCAACTTTAGTTTGCGGCGACGACGGCTCTTTTTTTGTTCTCCGCTGCGGCAGAGCAGCGGCAGGCTGTGCGGCGGGCTTTGGACCCGCCCCGTCCCTCCCGCCGCGTGCCTTGTTGGGCGTGCGCCGTGCGGCCGGCTTCTTAGTGTGTCTTCTCCCTCGCAGGACGGGGGCGTCGCAATTTGCCTGCGCCGTGCCGCTTGCTGCGGCGTGAGCGCGGGGCTCTCTTTTGCTCCTCGCCCCCACACTTCTCTGTGTGCGTGCGTGTGTGAAGGAAGTGCGGCCGCGAGGGGTTCGTCCGTCGCCCCCACGGAGGCGCGGACAGTTGCGCTGAGCCAAAACAAAAAAAAACCGCACGACGCCTGCGGGAGGCAGCGTCACTTCGCACGGCGTCCCGCATGATGCGTGCGCCCTGCGGCTGCGGCGGGCGCGGCGGTGCACGGGCGGGGCGCTTCGGTGGGGGCGGGGGCGGCTGCCGTCGGTGACGTTTTTTTCGCGGCGGCTGCGGGTGAGTGCCGCGTGGGGCTGCGTGGAGTCCGGCGAGAGACCCGCGGGGGGAGGGGATTTCGCGGGGTCGGGGAGCAAACGACGTGCTGCGCTGCGAAGGAGGGCGCGGGAGGGGCGGGGTGGGGGGCCGCCGGCACGTCCACTTCGTCCGCGTGTGTGTGTGTGGCGGGAGGGGGAAAAGGGCCCTTGGGCCCCGCTGCGGGCTATCGGGAGGGCACATGTGGAGGAACGTGCAAAAAAACTTCTTCTGCCGTTGCTGCTGCTTATTTTCCCTTAACGGGACGACAATGCCTCGATCATTCCTTCTTTATCTGTTTGCATGCGTGTTGGTCGAATGCACCCATTCCGCGGGCTGCTCATATCTGTGTGTGGTTTTTCTCCTCCCTCTATTTCTGCCCCTCTCATTGTTAGTCTCTCTGTGCGTACGTGTGTGTGTGCTGCGGTGGGAGGAGTGGCGATGGCTGGCCGTGCGCTGTTGGTGTGCGCCCTCTGCGTGCTGTGCTGCGCCGCCGGCGGGGGCTGGGCGGCGGAGGGAAACTACTGCACGAAGCGCGACTGGAGGGACTTGCGGGCCGTCGCGAAGGACATGAGCGATGCGGAAATTGCGGCGAAGTACTGCGGCCTCAAGCCGGCGTTTGTGCGGGGGCTTCGGGCGAGTCTGCAGGGCGATGAGGTGGTGGGGGATGTGTCTGACCACGGCGGAGGGAGCGGCGGTGTCGGAGTCGTTGCCGACGGCGGCCCCGCACAAACCACCGGAGCGAAAGGAAAAGGGGTGGAGGAAGGCGCGCAAAGGGAAACGCATGGCGCCGAGGTTTCGAGAGAAGAAGCGTCCGCGCACTCGGGGGAGCACGGAGGACTGGGCGGGTCACTGTCACGAGAAAAAGAGCTGTCGCCATCGCCATCGGGCGAAACGGAAGGGCACTCACCATCGGGTGCTCCTACTGGCGTAAAGGCCGCCGAAGGTCAACTTAGGACTTCGCTGGGCGGGCCAGGCGACGCTGAGACATCGCAAGGCAAAGGACAGACGGATAGCGGTCTGCAGGGGCCACCACAGGCAGTGTCTTCGACGGGGCCCGACGGCCAAAGAACGGTACAGGAGGAAAAGACAGTTGCACTTACTCCTGAAGAAGTTCCACCAACGAGAGCTGACGCCTCAGCAAGACAAGGTGATGAACACACTCAAGCCTTGAAGAATACATCAGACGCAAATGCCCAACAAACAACCGAAATCGCTCACTCTGGAACTCCCGATGTTGCTGCCGGCAGCCCTCAGGTGGAAGAGCCCCATAAAGAACTTCGCAAAGACACCACAGGGCCCGGTGTCGTAGTGCCATCGGCAGCGACGGCAGGGCAAACAGAGGGATCGCCGACACTAACAAAGCCGCCGACGTCAACTGAAGAGCCAGGGGAAACGGTTCAGAAGACGGCATTGGAGGAGACTCCTTTGAAGGAAAAAAGTGCCGAGGAGATTGTGCCCAGTGATGACAAGGACGGCGTTGAGGAGGAAGCTAAGCCCAAAGAAGATGTGCCGGCCCCAGCTGTCACAAGTGATACACCGGATGGAAAGGCAGTGGATGCACCTCAACCCACTGCCCCTTCGGGCGGCGGTGGCACTTCAGGCGAACAGACTGGAAAGAAGGCTGAGGCGATTGCCGAGGATTCTGCAGGGCCTGTTGCCGCAGCGGCCCCAGGAGCCCAACAGCAAGGTGTAGCTGCCGCTGGTGCACCGACGAGCAGCGACAAGGAACCGCCGCCAGCAGCAGAGGACACCGCCACTGAGGCCAGTCACGCAGCGACGACGACTGACGGTGGCAGCGGCAGCAGCCCCGCGGCGCAGCCGCAGCCGGCGAGTTCCGTGGTGACAAACGAAGCAGGCCAGACACAACAAAAGGAGCAGCCCGCAGTGCCCACCTCCCAAAGTCAAGCGGAAACGAGTGGCGAGAGAGGAGGAGAAGCCGCTCAGTCGGCAGCGGGGGAGGCTGCTCAAGCGGCGACCACCAACAATTCGACGAGTGCAGCGAAGGCGGCGCCCGGCGACAGCGACGGCAGCAGCACTGCGGCCACGCGCCCCGCCTCCCCCCTTGCGCTGCTTCTTTTGCTTGCGTGTGCGGCTGCCGCTGCGATGGTGGCCGCGTGAGGGACCGAATGAGAAGGAGAGGGCCGTGCACACACAGCTCCCCTTTTTCTGTTGCTTTCACGCCCTTTGTGTGTGTCTCCCTGCACGGACTCTCTCGCCCCTCGCCTCACCCCACGAGGCAGACAACACATAATGTGCTCGTATATATATACACAACTCCACTCATGCGGGCCTGTCGGTACCCTTCTTTTTGCACCCGACGAGCCGCTGCCGTCTTGTTTGGCCGCATGGGTACAGCACCGTAACTGTTTTTATCCTTTTTATTTTGTTTGTTGGTTTCCATTGCTTTCAGTGGGCGACCTCTTTCTGTCTTTTCCTGGACTGGGCTGTGCGGGAACAGAGAGAGAGTGTGTGTGTGTGCTGGCCGTCCCATTTGTTGCTGCACGTCCCCACTGCTCGGTGGACGCGCCCCGCAGGCTTCGGCTTCACCTCACTGGGTTTGTTTTGTGTGTGCTTTGGTTGAATGTGCCCATGCCACTGGCTGCTGTCGCGTGTGCGTGTGTCCCGCACCGTGTGGACGGGCCTCTATTTACCCCTCTCTCGTTGTGTGGCTGCGTGTGTGTACGTGCCTATTTTGTGTCTCTTCCTCCCTCGCATTTTTATTTTGGTTGGTGGTTGTTGTTTTTCAGCTGCAACGGGAGCCAACAGCAACAACTAAGAGAAAAAGAAAACCAAGGGAAGAAATTCTGGGAGGCGCGAGGAAGAAGTTGACGCTGCTGCGGGGCACCCCACGTCTGTCCTGTGGGCGGGGCGGCCTCCGGCGAGGGCGCGGTACGGTGGCGGCCGTCAGCGCGCGCGGTGGACCCTCGACAGTTCGGAGGAGGACACGCTGCTGGCGGGAGGTGTTCACGTCGAAAAGCCGATGCTGAACGACTTTATTCGGAGTTATTTTGGCCCGGGCAAAGGCGTGGAGGAGGAGCGCAACGTGCCGATGCGGGGGTTTGTTCGTGGCCCGGCGAGTACGTCGCGGACCCGGCGCTGCTCGAGGGCATCCTCAAGCTGCCGGCGTACCGGCTTTGTGCGGGGTGGGCGCGCGCCAGCACTGAGGGGCCGTCGCACGGCGGGGCGGCGTGCGGTGCGGAGGGGAGGGGAGCCGCGTGTTGGGGGCCGAGGAGGGCGAAGAGCCGCAGCGGTGGTTGTGTGCCCTCCACCGCGTGGGGAATAATGACTGCGGTGCTGT